GCTCCCAGACTACAAAAATATATAGCCGACGAAAATTGACGGATAGAGGTCTATCAACCTCATTTTCCACCTGTTGAACTTGAACTGAAAATGATCCACAATAGAAAATGAAAAGCAAATTTTCAATTTAAATACAGACATCTTGAATTCAATTAGTGAAACCGACCATAGAAAAATGGCACTTATTATTTTGCCACGAATCAATGCACAGTGCTGTATTAATGTAAAACCTATTCGGTCTAAGATCCCATACCTGAACGTCGCACGTTCTTCCTATTATATGGAAGTAAAAGGTATTTTTGAATTATTGGATATTAATTTCCTTTTATGCTATCGATAAATTCGATGGCGGAATTATTTTAATGAAAATACCTGGTGTAAGTTATATTGACATTATGGTTATACATATAATTTCATTTTGAGTAACAATGGCGAACATTCTATTAACGTGGTTGATATTCATGGCTTATAACTGCTTTATCGGAATATTGGGCAGGGATTATAACGAAATAAAAACATTATTTCGTTAAGTTCTTTCTGTTAAAACTTTTAGATTTTTTTAATATTGGTTATACAACTTATATAATTATATATTTTGACTTTTATATTGTAGTATAGTATTATTGTATTAATTCCCTTCGTTGCTTTTATGTAAATAAATAAAAACAAATAGTACAAACATAGCGCAACCCATATTACGCGTTATTTTCCATTTTTTATTTTATTTGTGGCAGACATGGAGATACGTAAATTAAATAATTATTATTTACTTTAGACGTGAAACCAATCACGTCATTCCAAATGTCGCTCATACAGTGGCATTGTTTTTTTTTTCAAAAGACCAATGATAGACGCGACAAAGTGTATGTTTGTATATATATATATAACTCATGAATGTAATTCTATTAACAAGGAAAGCATTTTACACGAATATCACATACAACCCGCCCATAGCATAAGATTACGCCCCATACTAACACAGGTCACGTATTGAACATTCACTGTGACCGAACAGGGTCTCATATAAAATAATAATATCATACTGTGTATTGTAAAACGATCCGTCTGTCCGTACGTGTTACGGAATTATTAGATATCATAGATTGGATATATAAACATAATTTATTATGTGTTGCAGTATATATTTCATTAGAAGGGTAAGTTCTTATGGGGTAAAGTTTGAGGAAATGAGAATAAAGGGTAAGGGGTCAGAGTGAGTGAGGGTGCAAAATGAGTGTCAAGTTTTGTTCTGGCGTAGTATAGTGTGAACTAGTTTAGCTGAGTGACGTAGGTATCTACTTCATTTTTACTCACGTACTACCTAGCCCCAGTTTTACTAGGTATAAAGCCTGTTTTATGTCACCTTACTATGTTTACCACTGTTGATTTTACAGGATAACTGAGTTTGTTCAACTCAACTGAAGATTATTACGAAAATTTATACTACTTTGGTGCATATTTTGTAGTTATTAGAATCAAACTGTCCAAGTTTAAAAGAATAGCAATAATTTAGTGACATATTGACTACAAGATTTGTACATGTACCTATGTCACAATATTATGAATAACGGCCTAAAATAAAACTACTCGATAGAGCAAACGGAGTAGTTTATTTTCAATCCTTTTCGATCTAGAACATTTATAATTATCATGTTATTTGTTCATAAAACTAAAACCAAGTATAAAAGAGAATATTTATTTTTAAGATGATATTAAGAAATACTTTTAATGGTTTGAAAAATTACGACTTTCAAAGAATTACGTTCACCGCTGACCCAGCATAACCTTTGTTCAAGACGGTATATTACCAAACTTTTACTTAAAGTATTCATAATTTGCGAGATTAAAAGCTTAGTTCAGACAAATGAAATGGTTTCGCTCACGGTGGAACTCGAAATGACAGACACGAAACGCCTCAAGGCACAGTTAGTCTTAATACAATGACAATAAAACATGGTGGACGTATTTCACGCTAAAGATTTTCCCTGTCTACGCGGCTACAATCATTTGTTATAATTTCCTGACTAAATACGCCCCAGCAAGAACATAAAAAAACATTCTTCTGCAAATTATGACAGATTATTATGTCCGCGACATAAAAAGTGAAGTAATTATGGTGGCTTCAGAAAAATAAATGCATACTTTCGTATATTCTATACTTAACGCCTGTAGATACCTTTTTGTGGTAAAAAATGTTGTTTATCTTTATTTATCTCTTACACAAATAAATTATGATTGATTTATAACTATCTCAATACATATTTTTTCCTTTTCTCTATCGTGAGAGTAGGTATATTCCTAAGCATATCTTCACATTTAATAAATTATCTCCAATTGTAATCACAGTTCCAAGCACTTATATAAAACTAACGACTTATTCTTCCTGTCATAAAGCCAGGATTCTGTTGTTACCACGTCTGTAGTTACGGACAGAATGTAAACTGCCAATTACATCGCAAAGCTCTTAAAATGGCACTAAGGAAAGTTTATATTTCTTTTTTCTGTTAACAGTTTCGATATCATTTTTAACTTTATTATCTTTGTTACGAAAAAGTTTGACGAGGACGTTGTTTATTTTGTTTTCTTTTTTATTCTTAACAGTCAATTTATGTAGGCGTTCCGTGATAATGATTTTGTTACTATTCAATGGGAATTGGTAAGTATGTACCTAGTTGGATACATTTTTTTATCTATCAACCTGATAACTGGTAATTTTTTTCGAGCTAGGGATAAAAAGTGGACTAGATTTGCCTCTATGAAAATCCACTCTCACTCCCCGGGGGCCAAGTTTGGACTATGTATTAGGGGTCAAGTCAGTCAAGTTGATAACAATGAGCAAATCTTTTTTTAGAGGCCCATGGGCTGAAAGTAGACTGAATTTAAAGAAAGAATGAACCATCGCCGTCAATGATTTGTAGATATAAATTTATTTGTTCAAGTTCATTTATATGAACGTGCATACCTACTTATTGTTAGGTAAGTTACAATAATACTAGCCACGTTTCAAGCCCGCATTTTCTATTTTAAAAAGCAGGTTTAACTTCAAGGCTCAACAAAACAGACTTTAAACTTGTTTTACGAGTCGAGTCACTAGATACTTCAGTTATTTATTTTTTCTCAGTCACTTTGAACGTGAGCCTCTCGGCATGGCATGTAATGTCAACCCTCAGATTTTAACAAAGGTAAATCCAGTAGTTTCCATTTGTTATCAACAAATGGAAATGTAAAAAGCATAATTAATTAATTTTACAGAAATCTTACGAAATTCCCGCGCTATTGGCAGAGCCGAGCCTTTTCGGTGTCTATGAGCGTCGGTGTAATTAGAGCCACATGAAACATTTCAGCTTTGGGATGGAAGATCTCCTATGATTACACGGGCACCCACATTTGTGTAATTACGAACTCTTGAAATGAAATGTCTGCTTTGCCTCAGATATGGTCTCTGGTGTCATAGACCTTAATGACGACGATCACTTACCATCAACGTCACCTTATAGGAGCTATTTATAATGATGTCACCCATATAGGCTTAGATAATAGGCAGAGAGACAGGCACTGTTCGATGGAAGTCTTTGAAGCTAGCAAAAGTTAATTTTGATAAAAAGTAAACGAGTTTAATATCGTCGTGTGAAATTTTGAACAGTTATATCGTGTTAACTATAATTGAGGGTTACTCAGGTGAATATACTGAGAAAAACTCTACTAGTTTCGAACCACAGAGGGGTTCTTCCTCATGAGCGTGCGCGGTCGCGGCGATGTCACGCAGGTCACTGTTTTTTACATTGTGCACAGACCTAAAAATTATAAAAGATAAAAATAAATTTTAATAGTTTAGCCAGAATACCTAACTGAAGGCCATTGTGACCCTCTCTCAACTTAAAGGAAATTAACAGCGGAAATTATAATAGTAGCACAAATTACAGTAGACCCTATCCTTAAATTCACAGTTTCCTTTTTCGAGTAATTAGATCCTACCCGAGCTGTAGTTTATATAATCGCATGCTCCCACAACTATGATATACATAAATATAATGTTGACAGGTCCTTGAGATAAGCCTCGGTGTAAAGTCCCGGACATCTCTGCGTTTACTGTCGCTTAGGCGTCCGCTTTAAGCTGTAAATCCGTAGTCTGGCCATAAAAATAGCCGTAAACTAAGAATATCATAGATAGACTAGTTTAGTTTCTGAGTCGTAAATTGTTGGGTCTTCTGGACTGTGGTAGCTTTGATTTCTTTTTTAAGTCTTTTTTTGGTTTTAGTATTTCGTCTACTAGTGTTACGTGTGCTTTATTTTCTTTACTTGATAAGTACATTTTTAAATGTTTGATTAGCTCACCAGTAACGGGAGAAATCCAAGCTACCGGTGGTCAGCGCTCCAGATAGAGGAATTTCAACAGTACTGCTTTCTGCATCAGACCCTTAACCCAACTGTCTAACGCTAGCCTACTCAGGTGTTGGTCGCGGTTTTTAGCAATTGGCAGATATTGTTTTAATTTTATATATTATTTAGACAAATTCTCAGTAGTAGCACTGAGTCTGGAATTGTGCCCGGTATATGGCAATAGGCTCACCCCCTACTACATGGGACTCATAACATAATTAGTGAAAAGTGGGTGCACATTGTACAGTGGCATAATGTGCACCTCTGCCTACCCCTTCGGGGATAAAAGGCGTGATGTTATGTTACATTATTTAGATTGTTATTATTTTGTGATTCAAGGTCAAATAGTGTTTTTGTATGTATGGTATTTCAATGACCTTTTTCATAATTATGATGTACTCACATCTTTATCACATGCCGAGTTAATACAATGTCCCAATCCATGCATGTTTTGTTCCCTTTTAAAGTGTGATGTAATTTTTATAGCTTCCTTTTATTTGTACACCAAGGTCGTTTTTTATTACTTCCAATTGTGTTGTTTTTCTGTACCTACCGATGTGTTTCCGAACATTTTGTTTTCTTTTAATTCTTTGATGAAATGAGACACAAAGTTATATAAACAATTTATTTCCTTTCCATTTGCTGATTTAACATTTAAGTAGACATCAACAATGTTTTTAATTATTACTTTATTATGTATAGAAGAAAAGTATTGTGCGATCTGAATAACTTTAAGAATTTCCCTTCAAACAGTCTTATTATTATTTACATACAGAATAAATTCACATTGGGTATTAGTGAAATGTTAATACATGAAGTCACAAAGAAATACAGTAGATAGTTTAACTAATTTATAAGACATTAAAATTAGAAATACACAAAATCTCTTTCATTATAATAGTTATGTATAATTGCATAATTCTCCGATTCGACTATTACAAAAAATACAAAACTTCCTTTACCTGCTTTGATACTAAAACTTTAACACTCTGTATCTATTCATACGTAGTATAAATATTTACGTAATACAGTATACTATCATTCTGGGAAAATTATTTACACATACATTCGTGCCTCTCAAAGAGGTAGATAGAGACACAATATTCTACGTCTATCTTGGCACATTTGTTTTCAAAGTCCGTTCACATTCACACCCTATTGAATCAATTACAGAAATCAGACCCGAAGCTACTGGTCCACATGTACTTAAAACTAATATTTCTCTTCTAAACATCAAACAACTAAGGATGTCTTTTATTGACAATATACACTTTTGCTTACAATAGTGTCTATGTTCCGGGGATAAATCCAAATGAACAACATTCACGGCTTTATCAAAGGTTACCCTCGGAAGTCATCGAGTCAACGTCACTTCAGTATCACTCGAGCTCCTGGAGCTCTCTTTGATGACATCTAGTTCCCTATTAGACACTGACGAATTACGAGAAAACTTATGAGCACTATATTCACTTTTTTCATCATGAATGTCATGAGCACAACCGTTTCCATAGTCTTTGATTTCATCTGAATCATCTTCCCCTATGTCATTCACTTCCACTTCCAACAAATTATCATTTTCTTTTAGTCCATAAGCGTTGAAACTTCTCTCATGACTTAAACTGCGTATTCTATCAAGATTATGTTCTAAATGTTGCATGTCGTCGTCAACACCCGGCGAATCATCAAACTTCCACTTATATTTGAATTAAAATGTTCCACTCCGGGATACATACTTATACTATTACTTCTATGCCCGAAAACCGGACAGTTTCGGAACTCTCACAATTCCGGATGCCTACCATTACAAGTCTTGTTGAAGTTGCCCTCATCCAAGCTCAAGTTTGAACGAGAACGACCACACTCCAAGCCAGGGCTTGGTCTAAATAGACACATGTCTGAGTTCTTCAGTCTGCATTGACGTGAACAGGATTCATTTGAAAAGCTGATCTGTCGAGCTGTCTGTAATCTGTGGGGCCATAGCCATCAAAGAATCTGGGGTCTTGTTTACAAGCACTACTTGAGCAGCCTTTGAAAGAGCCGGAACATCGAAGTGGATCTCGATGGCACGCTTTCTGAATAGCATGCAGTGAGGACGATGATACAGTACGTTCTAATATCTCGCCCCAATATTTTTCACCGAGTCCTTCAAATCTCCTTTGGAGTGTAGTCCGTCTGATGTAACGGGAGAACCACAACATCCTGTTGTAGGTTTCTCGTAGCTTGGGTAAGATTTTGATCTTCGGCAACAAACCTGTGAATACAATATTTTATTATAATTACAAGCACATTTAACAAAAATACATCATACGTTATTAGACACCAAATACTCACATAATATTGTAGAAGTTCATGACTTATCCTCTAAAGTGGCTGTTCAACAGCCAGTACAGAAAGGATTCCAAAAACTATTACTCAACGCCAACCACGTCACTATGAAATCCAAAGAAGGCGGAACCTGTTTGGAACAAATAAATAATAATCATTAATTGTAATCTATCATTCGATTGTAAAACAATGGTCTATTTACGATTCTTGAATTCTAAAAGTTTTTGGTATAAATACGGCGCGTATTTACTTTCAAACTAAACAAAACAAAACAGTATCAAATAAGAGCGCAATTGCACTGTTTATCCTCGTAATCACAGAAAGGCTTTCATTATTATTCAGTTGAGAAAGTAAGATTTCGGTTCAGAAGCCCTTTCCCTTGGTTTAGAAAAAAAAAACCCAAGACACTGTTTAGTAATTGCCACGTTTAGAAAAGAATTGTGTTAGACCCTTTGCCATTTGTACAGAAATTTATGTTGGGACGACGTTTTTCAAGTGGTGGTAACAACATAACATAGCGTCAAGCGTTTTATTCCTCGAAGAGGACGATACAATTGGACAGATTACTTACAGAACGTAATTTCCTCTATACTACTTTGAGAAGGCTATTTCAGACTTCGTACTATAATCCAAAATTACGATAAACCCAACAATACCTAGCCTAAACCTTGAAATCTAAAAAGACTTCTTTCTTGACTCATACTCGACCAAGAAATTCAGCCATTAACAACAACAAATGAAGTACTCATAAATAAAAATTTCAAAACAATAGATACCAAAGCTAAAATCCATACCTTGCAGCCGGTACAGGCCGCAACCACTTCCTGTATAGTAGCTGGAGTGACCATAACGATGAAACCTAATGACATTGCTGCCATCGTTCGTGATGTGCTCACGCTATGCGGTCTCACTGGCGCTTGAATCTGTGACAGAGTAATAAAAGGATCATCATTTGTGTTTAAAATTACGATGCCATTATGAGAATAACTAAACATGCAAGAAACTTGTTCAAAAAGTAATTTCATATATATTTATAACACAAAATACACCAAAATGAGCCATTTGTCCGATAAATAAGGCACCAATTTAGATGGAGCAATCTAATCCTGACAACTTAAGTGGGAAAGTAATTTACCCGTAAAATTAAAGTCAAAACTATCACTAAAACAACGTCAATTCCTGTAGGTTCATAGTATATTTATCTCAATTAAAACGTCAAAAATGTTCTCGAAATCTTTCCATTAACAATCTCCCTTCATTTCAAAGGAAAGTAGTCCAATCAATCTAACGATTTGTGAAACAAAGTCGTAATTCTAGAACTTAATGCTTATTGTTGTAGATCTAATACAATCTCAGTAACAAGGCAGTTCAATCTATTAAACGGAGTTATCACTTGCACAAAAAGAAAGGACCATATATCATAACTGAAGTACCTAAGTACATTGGTAACGAAGTTTTGAAAAAAGATTCCGAAATGGAGCACACGAGATAATATTATTTCGTTTGATACAATTACTTTGTGAGCGAAATTTTATTTATCATTTTGATTTATGAAAGTAACTTTATCTGTGTAATGAATGCTTATTGTATTTTATATTACATCTAAGGTAGGAGATATACGGCGGGCTGGCGAAACAAGTTAAACTCGTAAATTATGAATATGCGCTACGTGACCTTTTTAAGGAAACAAATATTTTTGTGTAATCGCTGCGGACATTGTTTATAATAAAATTTTCATAAATAATATTGGATGCTAGATGATTGATTTGGATACCCTAAAGTTATTTTATAAATTTTGAGAAACACTCTAATTGTAATTTTATTATGATTTATATTTAGGGTGATAATATAATATTTTATTAGTAGTACCACCCACAATTTCTTTAAAATGTCACCATGTATGAAAATCTAATAACTTAATGGGTCCTATAAATGTTTGCTTCTATCGTTATCACTAGTCTACTACATTGCAGTTTTAGTTCATACGAGATCAATAGGATGTAATAAGTGTCTTTTTTATTATTCTCACGATCATCTTACCACAACTTCATGTTCTCCATGTGATGTCTTCGCACAAGGCACAGGTACTCCATTAGGCCTCAAAGGCTCAGGGTCACATTTCCCTCTAGTTTTGCTGACATGGAACCCTGACCCATAGCAGTACATCAAAGCCATAGTTGTCGGGAAGTAATAGGCACAGCATGATAAAATCCTAGTAGAGATAAAAAAGATTTTATTATTACACTTTATAGTTAACTATGTAGTAAGTACAGATAATAATACCCGCAAAAAGGCAAGATTGTTAGGCTGTTTTGAAAACGTAGTTGTAAAAAATACTAAATAGCAATAAAAACTAGATCGCAAAAAAGGGAAAAATTTACAGTTTACCTACCTAAAAGCCACTCTGCTATGAAAGACATCACAAGCCATAAGTCCAGTTGAGTTGAAGTAATATCCAGATCGCGGTAGCACCATGATCGCGAATAGTGATACTGACAGTATCCACGTTATACTTATAACTAAGACGCAACCCTGTGAACAAAGAAAAAGCTTTAGACTTACATAAACATAACATAAACCTCCTTTCTCCTAGAAGAGTTAGGTGGAGAAGCAGGTACGAGGTAGAGTGAACCACGTGTTGCCACTTGCCAGATCATTTATGAATTCCATGAAATAGGGTTAGCCCATAGGAAACTAATTGCGTATTTTAATTGTAATATACGCATCATTTTCGTCTGAACTCCATGCCATACAACATTAAGTAAAAATTTGAAACACTTCGTAACATTGTGTGATACATTGACTTTGTTACTGATTTGAGGACTCCCTCAACTAACGACGCACTTTTGAAAACCAAAACCAGTGAAAGAATTATAACCTTTATTGTAATAACTTTTATAACTGTCACATATTTAATTTCCGTTTCATCATATCCATTGCCAAAATGTCCTAGCCCTTCTAATAACAATATAAATTATACATGGTCATTGTCACAGTCTGGTGAACTCTAGAAGTTAAATTATACTCTAACGTTATGAATAATAAGTCTCTTAATAGCCTGGCCATTGGACGCTCAGGGCAAGGGACATTAACTGTCCGTAATATGTCCAAACTGTGGTTTTGACGCATCGTCCTAGAACAAATTCTATTTTGGTATACAGTATACGAAGTCACTTTGAATGAACAGGTTTTGACAATAGTATTATTAGACATCTAACGCATGTTACGTACAAAGGTCAATAGATTTCCAGGCAGCTAGGAAAGTCCTATAGAAGTGTGATATATACGTTTTGAAATTTGAATCTTACGGATATGAGATAGTTACATACATCAGGACGACAATAAAGTGCTATTTGCAGAAATTTTTAAGCCTCGTATATTTGTTCTATGTATGTAGACGTTACTGTACTATGAGTACGATAGAATAGATAAAAAAGGAAAGTGTATCCAAAGATATCTGTTTTTTTTGAGGAACCAATTTTTGTTGGATTCACAGTGTCATTTAGAGATGTATCCTGTAAAATTCCCTCTGGCTCTCTGCGTATGTAACGTATGTACAAAGTAAAAAAGGAATTCCCTTGTGGCAGGCATCGTGGGTCTACTAAAAATAGATTCGAGTCTCATAGATACTTTTATTGAATGTATGTAGCTATTGAATAAAAAACGATAACAAGTAAATACTTGAGATCACATTTGGTCTTCTTCAAAAAGAGGTTGAGGTTACTTATAGTAATAATAATATCTAAGTATCCTCACTTTTACATGATTTACTAATTTTATAATAATTATAGAGAATTGCGACTTTTACTGTATACCGGGCACAAGGACTTCTCACAACCTAGGACCATGCTAAGTTTTTTTTTATGAGATTAGTCTGATCACCAATCGGCGTCGCCCATGGAAAGCCAGAACACCAGAGGCGTTACAAGTGCATTACTGGTCTATTAAGGATTAGGAATTTTAGGATTGAGGAGATTGGGGAGGGAGGGGGATAATTGGGCCTCTGGTAACCACACTCACACGACGAAACACAACACAGGCGTTATTTCATGTTGGTTTTCTGTGAGGCCGTGGTATCACTCCGGTCAAGCCGACCCGTTCGTGCCGAATAGCTCTCCCACTCTTACTATATCTTGTATCTTTAGACCAGTATCACAAATGTATACTTAAAAAGTCTTGAGTGTTGAAGAATTCTATATCAACAATAAAAATAAAGAGCGATTTACAACACAGTTCCAGATTAAATCGCAAGTGTGTACATTACACAAAAGATCTTACACAGCAGTTCGAGGGAGTTAATTTAAACATGTTCTCGTATTCAACGACCCTTTGCATCTAACAAAGTTTACTCCCGATAAAGTAACACTAATCCTCTCAAAGAAAGATATACGAAGGTAGGAACTTCACTTACAAACAAGTTTCCAATGGAACTTGAGAAGTAGGAAGACATTAGATATTTAGATGATAAACTTGTTTACATTGGCTAATGTTGTGTTTTGAGAACAAATCTATGTTTTGTATGAGGTTGCTATTAAAGTATTTGAAACATTATTTCTGACTGCCTTGTTGGCCGAATGGTTGCAAGTGCGACTTCGAGAAGGGGTCTCTGGTAAATTCTCGTGTCGGGCAAAGTATAACTGGGTTTATAAAAAAATCTCAGTTATAATACGGAGTCTGGAAATGTGCCCGGTATATTGGCACTTTTCACTATTTATGTTATAATTTATAACATAAATAGTGAAAAGTGGGTGTTACATTGTATAGTGGGTATTAAGTGCCGTAATGTGCAACTCTGCCTACGCCTTCGGGGATGAAAGTCACGTTTCATGTTATGTATGTATTATTTCTAATGAGATAATGAAAATAGCGGTAATATTAGTAAAAAAATTATCTACAAAGTATTTAGATTATTAAGTAGTTACTATAAAAACACAGAAACAATTGCTATTGATCGAAAAAAAATATTGTTGGAGTCAATCATAGCATAAAAATATGCAAATGTTATTTCGTATATCGTCGTTAATAGGTAACAAAAAATTCTATTTCTCAACAAAATTGGTAAACGATTTATCCGAAATCAGTTACCCAATCACTGTAGATAGAAACCACATATGTGCGATTATTGGAACCACATTGGAACATGGAAAATAAGGAAAACAAAACGTCCACCCACTCACCTTTTTACTCGAATGTTTGTGATAGGTGTCCGGATGCAACAAGTACAAATATCTGTCGATAGCCATGCAGACCAGAATAACCGCACTCTGTTGACTCACAGCCCCTCGCAACAAAGCCTGAAATTAACAAAGTCGTTTCATTCAAAGAATCAACACTCCAAAAACTAACGTAGCTTCGTAAAAACGTCGAAAAACATGTTTATGTTTATTAATCACATTTTTACTCAAAATTGTAATTTGATAAAATATGGGAGAATGAAGTATTTGCGACAAGAAATACAATCTCTGAGAGAATTCGAAAAATACAAAACTTTACGTATCATAGCATTAATGACTTAATTTCATTTAAAATCAAATAAAATGAACCGAATAATAATCTTTGGAAAACCAACATCATGAAATCAATAATGAAATGTCAAAGTATCGCCAATATATATTTTTGTACTAAACATTTTTTCATACCCTTTAAGCAACATCAAAGATAAGGAATTCTTGGTATCTATGTAAATAGCCTTGATGTTAGTATCAAAAGAGCCACTTCGTAAAAGGAATAACAAGTCAGCAAGCGTCTGGAGCCAGTTACAAAGCTGAAACTCCAACCTAACTTTGTGCTCGGTCACTATAAACCATTAGCTGATACCGCATTATGTGCTTTCATAGAAGTTTTAGCAAATTTTATTGTTCATGGATCGCCGCTTCTCCGGAACGTCAACAATTACCCTTTATAAAGTTGCTCATCTAACTACGAACAGCCTCAAAACTGATTTCTTTGATAAATGTTGAGAACAATTTTTTGGCTAGAATATTCTTAAATAAAATTCATCTTCCTAAATTATCATCAGAAATCAGCTGAGTTACGCAATTTTTTCTTTGACATCCGATTACCATTTAACTTTGCTTTGCCAATTGCAAACTTTTTTTCCTTCGAGGCAACTTTACTCATTTTCTCTTCATCTCTTGTTTAAACAAAGTTTTGCGAGGACCTCGTAACTCCGCCTAGCTCTAACTAAATTAAGTAAGTCTCGTGAAATTTTGATGGCAAACTAATTTTAATGTACTCATTTTATTTCTGTCTACTCTTTAAGTTTTCGTTGCAAGTTCAACATTTACTTAATGCTTAAAGTTAGTTTGCCACAGTTTAAGTGTTATATCAATTACTAGCTGTTGCCCGCGACTTCGACCGTTTAGAATTTTAGGACATTAATTTTTTTGGCTCAATTTTCCAAAATAATTCTGTTACTATTTTTCTATGTTACTCCTTAGTACATCAGCTAACTGCCAATAAAAGTCAAAATCTAAAACCCGTTGAAATCGGTCCAGCTATTTTAGAGATTATCCAGTACAAACGGACTGACAGACAAACCAAAATTGTAAAAAAAATATTTTGTATGTGTATTTATATGCATTTAGTAAAAACCTGTTATTTTAAAGGATTAATGTTATAAACCCACAGTCCAATTTTATTAATCTGTATAGATGTAACGTGGTTTATTGATGTAGGTGTCTATTTTAGTTGAAACAAAATCAAAGATAATTGATTGATATCGTGACTAACCTGTATTTGGCAGAATATCTCCCCGTATGGCCAGCACTTGTACAAAGCTGGGAGCAGGGCGACAGGAGCTATCAAGATTCCCGTGAATAAATCGTTCAGTGCGAGCGAGGTCAGTAAGTATCTTGGCTGTAAAATATGGCATCACATAAATTATTTTCGTTGAGAACTATCATTGTGAATTAATGACCAAGAAAGATGTCTTATGATGCCAAATAACTTAGGTAGAACCTAGTAATATTCAACCATTATTCAGCTGCCTAACAATGTTATTATCTGACAAGCAATTAGTCAGACACAACCAAGGTTTTATTATAATTGGCGGTTTGAAAATTGAGAGAAATCTTCACTGAAATAAGGTAAATTTCAAATTTAACAATGGGCATTCATTATGAGTGGTGACTACTAAAGGACGTTAACGACCTTAATTGTAATAACATTCATCAAATTGTGAAAAAGACAGAAGAAAATTGTTACACATACCTGATTGTCAATATACTTGATGTACCTCCTGTTATTTAACACGCAGATAAGGACCAAGTTTCCAAAAACAATGGACATAGAAAGAGCGAATATGAAAAATGCCTTTAATATGTCAGCTGGTGCTGGAAATGTAGAGGGCCAACCCTTGCCGTTTAGCCAACAGGAGCTGTTCGACAAAGATGGCGCTACGAGTAGTGCGCCTTTGGTCGAGTCAAACATAGTCGGCGCCTGAAGGCAGCGCAAGCTTCTCTTAAATAAGGCATTTAGATCATCTGATGTACACTGTATTCAGACTTTGGTTTTTGTTATCAAACATAATACAACACACTTAGAACTGGCATCAACACCATCATAAGTTGTCAACGGCCACTCGATTGTCTTCTGATACTCTTCTTATCTTCATGTTTAATCTGGAACAATAGAAATTTAAATTAAGTTACCGTTTCATCTCATAGGCTAAAAATAACTAAACTTCTTGTGATCGTTTGTTTTCTCTAAACAAAATCGAGCTCCAAATTAATTTATTTTATCGTTTCCAGGAAACAGAATCAATTATTCTAAACACTTGCTTTTGTAAGCCGGCAATTATCTAGTTTAAGTAAATTTCGTCATCCGAAAAAACAGTTGTTTTTCTTAATCAGGCTTTCGACGTCGAATACTATTAGAAGTAAATTGTGAAGCACTCCCAACACTAAATCTCTAGTGTCGCACGTTGTTACTTTAAAACATTTTATGATAGCAAGAATTCTTCGCAGTACTTTTAAGGAAGGAAAAATAAAAGATCATATATAGAGCGTGCGTGACAAGACACGTCTTTGGAATCTTTTCCTTGAGATATATTTTTCCAATCGGAACTTTTCCTTAGATTGTTGGCTAGAGCTTTGTCAATTTCCTGTAGGAAATAGAGTCTTGTGTCAAGCGTAATACGATACTATGTATACATTTTTATTCATTACAAATTAATTAATTTTTCAAAAACTTTGTAGGTTCTAAAACTTCGACATTGTAACAACGAAAAATGTAAGGTCAATGAACGTCCTATTTTGTATTATTTAGGAGATTACACAAGTTGAAACAAAGCTTATCTTATCATTAATCAAAGATTGATTAATAAGACTGAAACAAGAAACATAGTTCATAAACAACTTCGTAATTTCAATGCTGTCCAAACTGTATACGAAGTTGTAGACACCCTTATATCAATAAAGGAAAAAGGGATCCAGAAGCGAAATTTTACTGGCGCCCATAAATTTGTTTTTGTTCAAGAGATATATTAGGAAGTTAATGCTAAGTAGATTGATCCATCTGATGGAGGAACGGAATGCGTCCATAAAATAGTGAGTACTTCTTTTTGTATCAACAACATGTCGATTCGTGAAGATCTTTCGCTACACCAACCTTTTTAAGACTAACAGGGTCAATTTGAAAGGTCAATGGCAAGAGTGTTAAGCTACAAGGAAAATTGGTCCTTGTGCCAGTAAAAAATATATTAAAACGTACCAGTGTCAAAAGTATGAAGTCTTGAAGGATTTTTTCTAATTTTGAATCGAATAAACATTCTGTTACACAAACTCGAGAAGATTCCGAACTAATTATTGTTTTTCTCTTATCACAAACAAACATCTTAATAGCTGGAATTGAAATCTTGACTCGACAAGTTTATTGGCCCTACTCGAGAGCCGAGACTGTAAATACAGGGAGTTCGCATCTAGTGCCAAAGGACCAAAACATAATAAAAAACGTTCATTAAGAAGACTGGGAAGGTCGCAAGGTTCAAAATGTTTTCTTGTAGAAACCGCTTTCGAATGAAATCTAGAATGTTTACGGTTGTTTTTAAACAATCAAAAAGAAACCTAAAAGATTTAAGTGGTAACTTGTTTGTTGGTTGCTATAAAACGCTTATGTGAGTCACCTTACGTTTTTTCATCTGAGTCTATTGTTATAGAAGTTGAAGTACTTTATTATCACTTCAAGTCAATTTACAGATATTAGTTACAGAACAAAATAAGAAGTTATTCCTTGATTACGTATTTATAGTTAGGTATATTACCTTCAGACTCAATAATACTACTAGAACTTTTTGAAATAAATATCTAATTAATATTATCTTCAGGGTCACTCGTTGCTCGCGGTTTTCAAAGTCCAAAGTGGGGACACGACTTTATCTAACATCAAAGAAACTGGGTCTCAGGTTTTGATGTCGCGTGTCGGTCTGACGTAAATACATACTTCACTGTACTCATTAGAGTATATCAGTAAAAGCTCTTTACATAACGAGATACCTTAGGAGCGATGTGGTTTTAATAATTATATTTAGACAGCTCGTGTGCGGTCTGGTATATAAGTGCGTCGCCTACAACTTTGACCGCATTGATATCGATCTTAGGATGATACATAGAATCATGTTTATATTAATAGATGTGATGTCTTTAACTCCAAAAGGGGTAGCAATAAGTTTAGTGACATCATTATGACAAATCACACTCAAGTATGGTGTAGTAAGTTTGGAGAATCTTAGTAAAGATGTAGGAATGGGGTGCGTGTCACACAGCCTATAATGATACATGGAACATGGTCCCGAACTCAGTAGTTTTGTCGGAAATGTCAAAGGTTAATAATGATTATTCATCATCAGAGTAGTTACGAACATTGATTCCTACATATAATCTTAACACATATTAGGTATCTATTTATGAATAAACTGTATCGATATAACTAGTACCCAGTTCTAATTTTATAATACACAAGATGACTACAACGTGTTGAAAAGATGCTTGGAGCACTGCGGGCGTCCACTTACTTTTAGTAGTAGCGTTTTATTACTCACGGAAGAGTTGGGGTCGTGGATTATAATACTGGTTTTATGAGCACAGAAAGAATATATGTTTCGTTATTTTTCTTTGCGATAAAGGCTCTTGAATTTTAACACAAATTAAAAATGGAAACGTTGAAACAAAACATTATCATAACCGAACTAAAAGGTGTTTTAAGTACTGCAATTTCTTGTTTTAAAAACTCAGGCGTAAGATTTTGACATTTTTTTAAAGAATGAGAATTTTTATTTTAGACACAAAGAACAAATACCTATCCTTTAACGAAATGTGGTAATAAATACACAGTTGCTTAGGCAACTTCCAAGCAAACATAAACATTCACATTTCTGTAGAAGATAAAGCAAAAAGAAAAGTTTATCAAATAATACATCTTACAAACAATAGTAGTGCATTACTGTTTATTTTCAATTAAAATTGTTAAAGTAACATTTTGAGTATAATTTACCCTCTAGCAGTAGGTACAATAAATCGCGACCAATGAGAGTCATGGTTTAATATTGTCGACCTGTAATTTATACCCCCAAAATTCTGAACTCATCCTAAAATTTATAATAACTGACTACACTTAATGTTTCACGAATAAATTCCACACAAAAACAATAAAAGCCGCCAAAATAAGTTCCATTATATTGTTGCGATAATATCCCCGCTTCGGGCAAACTTAATGCCACATTTGGCGACAACGTGTCTGGCCCCAACGGTGACCTTTGTTTTGGTTTTCATATTTTTATTGGGAACGAGGCTTGAATAAAAAATGTACATACTTTTTTATTAGTTCTTCAAGTGTATCTTGAAGGAATTCTGTACAAGTGAAGACGTGATGGGGTTACTTATTGGTGGTTGCGGTTACAATGTGATAGAATTAGTTTTGTTTAATGATATCATTGTTATATCTATTAAATGGAATCATAAGTTCATAAGTAATAGGAAAAAATGATGTCTAAAATTGGATTGATAATACATAACAATAAAACAAACCAACTGTTTACTCTTGAACACCATCTCTCTTGGAGGATAATATATAAAAAAACTAAGTAGCGTCGCTTCAATAGGGAATCTGCTACGAGATCGTTGTGAAACTGTAAAACATGCTTCAATAGTTCCAACAAAATCTAATCAAAAGCATATTTCAACATGACCTAGCAGAAATGTGTCAAAATATCCGCATTTGAAAGGGATATTTTCCTATCTAAAACTATTTTTAAAATCTGCACTCAGTCATGCGTTATTTCAAGCTTAACTTCCATCATAGAATGTTCCGGCTATCAAATGGCCGGGATCCCTGCACAATCTTTTGCTGACACAGTTCTGCATGCGCCAATTCAACTCGGTCCATTTTATGATGCAGATTTTTAATAATATAAAATGTAACTTTTCTACGAAATGTAATTAATTGATATGTAATATTGCTGAAATATAATTTTATTTATATTTGAAGTTGTCTTTATTCATATATGAAACAAAAAATATATTGAAGCATTACCAAATTGAAAAGGACATGGCAGATTTAATGAAGATTTATTTTATGTATTCATTACCAGAAATGGATCTGAATCGATCTGGCACAAAGATATATTACTGTCATGAAACATTTTAAAACCACTCTGGCAGAAATTCGTATCGATATTATAATCATAAAAAATACATACCAGCTCAGACAGTAACAGACTCCGCAGTACACCAAACCACACAAAGACAGCGATCAACTACAAACGGATCAACACCAAACCTATAATAGTTAATCACATTGTCACTCGAGAAGCCATCCTTACCTCAACACTCAGTGTTAAATGTCGCATTAAGACATCGCTACCGTAATTAGTATTGCTAGTGCTTCAGGGTAAATTAATTTAGAAATTAGGCTAGCCACTGACCTGTGGATAGGTGCTTATGTAACTAACTAAATGCCTTAAGCTAACATTGTCGAATTTCAAGTATAGGATGTTGTTCTTATTATTTTATTTTTCAACATATTATTATGGTGTAGATTATGATGTACATAAACAATATCATGTCTGAGTTATTGACATAAGGGAAAATGAAAAATAGTATAAATGTTTGTCCCCTTGACAGAAGTTTAAATACAACGTTATTTTCCGGATATAACATAAATGTAACTTCAAGTTTCACATGTAATTTCATCTTCATTTCTAATCCGTATTTGCTTTTTGTTTTCTATTGTTTTTTGAAAATGGGCGAGCCTAGCATCATATCAGCATGAGCCTCTAGCATGGCTTGAAACTAGTCGAGTTCCTCGTCAAACAGTTACGTGAGAAAGCAGAAACATAATAATTAATTAGTATGTCTTTCTAAAGTTTTAATATGATCCCATAATTCCCTCGAAATCTATAAATCATCTAGTCTGACTTTACTAATGAACCTGAGATCTCATACTTAGCACTTACACATACTACCATTTAACAAACGAAGCATCAACGAATGTACACAAGTTACAATTTGCTATATAATCAGGTAAGAATATATTTCAAACTAAACAACAACGTTCTTCGATAAACACGTTGTAACAAGGTACCTACTGTCAATTTATCATAATAATTTTCGTGTGAGCATCGTTT